ACCACCTTCCATCACAATAGTTTCACCTCCTCGGAAACCTACGAAAGATGAAAGGAAGCAATGGAAATTTCAAAATGAAAGAGGAAATGGAGAATACTTTAATTTTCCCCATTCTTGATGTCGGAAGCGCGTGTACTTTCTCATTTTCCCTATTTTGACAGTATACGTTATTTCTGCTTCATTCTTTCAGTGAAATATGCATTTAGAATAAATCACAGAACGATGCTGTACGAAGTCGTTTACACCAATGTGTGCTTTAGAATTTTTTGATTACGATGACAAATTTCGTTGAGAATAATGCAGTCATACACACCGTCAATGAGAGAATAATTTTCCAGTTTGAACTCCTCTGGATTAATCTCAGTCAATTTAGTGTTTTTTTTAGAGTAGCAGGCTTGGATTAGCCCATTCGTATGTTAAGAGGCACCAGGCACTCTTGATTTTCTTGGGTGTGGTGAGATGGTTAATTCCCCACAATTTCATGCGTTTGCATGCTCTAAAATTGATTGAACCATTGGCACAGGGTGATGACCGTCGACCGTGTAGCTCAGGGGTAGGGGTTTGAAGTCCCAACCCAAACGTTCGCGGTTCGAGTCTTGACAGGGACACAAAACAGACGCACTGCTGAAGATTCCCAAACAGGACGAAACAGCTGTCCAGTGCTCTTCGTTGGTTATCACAAGCATTTCTATCATAATTCACCGAGTGAATCAGAATGCATGGATGTGAAAAGAGAAGAAAAATCGATGACGAGAATTGGCAGAACTTATGGTGTATCAACCAATATCAATTCTGTTTAAGGTTATCAACCTTTTTTAGTTACCAAATCACGCCAAACGGTACGTAAATGAGAAACAAACGCCCAGTACATGCTTATTCTCACAATCTGTTTTAGTTACTTATACTATGGAGTCAGTCACGCTACGGAAAAGCTATTCCGACCAATCATCCCGCCATGTTTCCAGTTCGTCACTTGTGGTCTCTCATTGTGAACATGCCAGTAGAGACTCCATCGGAGCGTCGAACCCGGTTGGGATTAACCAGTGATCAAGTTCAACCTAATCCCGGTCGACCCCAATCCGCCTGCGAGACAGCGAATCACACAACCAGTTCGGCCAGTACAGTACAGTCCCGGTCGCCCCCGGTGGCCAAAATGCGCCTGTGGACGTCCACACGAACTCGTTCTAAGAGCGGACTGGCAAGGTTAAACAGCTTCTTCCTGCTGGCGACTCGAGCCTATCCAAACCAGAAAGAATGTGAGCGTTTGGTCAAAGAATTGCAGGGTTCGTTGCTATTCGAATCGTTTGTGCGTAACGAACAACCTACAGTTCCCCAGACAATGCGAGATACCGTCCAAGTCAGAAGAAGTCACACAATGACCCCAGAACGGGTGAGTAGCATCCGCATACTTAGCGCGAAGCAGTTACCGAACTGTATGAGTCACTTTTTCTGTTAGTAGTTCAGTCCTCATAGGTTTCAATTGAAGTAATGCCATTCCAATTTATGTTAATTAACTCGGATTTCCATCGACGGATCATTACGACCCTTCGGTTGAACTCATCTCATTCTTAGGATTACAACCAAGAGGATTTCTCTTACGTTGCATTCTAGTGATTTAACCGAAGTAAACGAGTTGATTGATGCGGATGAAAAGGTAATGGTTGTTCAAAACGTCTCGAATGGATAACTAGTTATTCTGGAGTGTTGTAAATGAAAGCTGTGCATAAACACACGCGCACATACATTGTCCGTGGCTAGTTGCACGGTATGTGGTTGAATTGTTCCACTCGGTTTCATCCGTACAGTGCTAATGCTTCGACATGCACAAAACTAATTACTATTCAACAAAATTGGTGTGCAATCCGGATTAAAATATCTGAGAAAAATAGAGAGAGGTCAAATAGAGCTGAAATCGGATGAAAAATATCAAATACCCCCTTTGGTATGAACAAACAGGCTGTATGACTTCTCACCAAGTTGGCAAACTGTAGCTATAACATAACCTCAATAATCATAAACTATGTAGCAAAAGATACCTGGTTTAATCAGCGCCCGGTTACGGGTGAACGTTATCTTGCAAAGATTGTAATCTCAGGCATCGATGGAAGTATTTTTATTTTGTGCTAGTATTCGAAACGAAAAGAAACACAAATTGTAAAGTTAAAATTCCTCCATCAAGTGGTTCAATACAGTAGATTAGATAAAGATCACTCGAGTGGCAGGGATAGAAAGAGATTAATGATATACAGCCCCAAAAGAGCTTAGTACTCACTGGTGGCAAGAAAAAGGCTATTTATTAATAGCAGGTTGGTGATATTACAGGACGGGTTTGGGGAAAATCCCATAGGGCCATATCACTAGTAATTCGTATGTAGATTAACTGAATGGAGTCTTATCTGCATCCTATTATAAGACAGCAATTTAAGTAAAGCTATAAGATAACATATTTGAGTTTCGTTTGTATGCTGGTGATATTTTTATTTCACTAACAAACGAAGTGACCTCCAGCCAAGTTATTGTTGAATACAAAAGGTAAATCGACGAAGATTTTCAAAGTTTTATTTACCATCGTCTTCGGAAAGTCCTCACAGAATCGCTTGATCGTTTTTTCAAGTAATCTTACAATGAGCCAACACTCCTGTTCGACAAAAATACGCGCAAATCCCGAGTTGCGTTGGCATTAACCCAAGTGGTTAAAGGTGCACAAACAATGAGAACACTATAGTCATTTGCAAAAGATGAAGCGCGAATGTGCCGTCTTGTGCAAAAGGAGACACTTAGTTTCCCGTCTAAATGCCGATATCTTATTGTATTTCATTACCGCACTTGTGTGTGCGCGCGCCAGAAAATCGTCCTGAGTCACCTATCTCGGCTTAGCAACACAAGAAAGTCAGCAGTTGCAGTGAGCCGGTTGTGTGACATGAGAAACTGACATTGACACAGCAAAACGTTAAGTGTTTGAAAGACAAGAACAAGACTGAACAATCACCATTCATTGATTTCAGTCATGCAAACAAAACAGCGTGCCTATCGAGCGGATTGAGCATAGTGCTATTTCCCTGAGCAAATTAGGATGGGCTTCTGGAGCTAAAAAAATCGGTTAAAATATATTTATTTCGACAGGACAGAATAGTGAATTTCCGCGATTTTTTCGAGAATCGTTCAATTCTGAAGGAATCTTAAGATACAATCAGTAATGAGGACATTTTATTAGGACTGCTGCTCGGATATTCGGCTAGTGGAGATTTTTGAGTCAGGAATAGCAACGTTGGTACCAAATTTTAATTCAAAGACTTCGGCCGGGTTCGTTTTGACGTGAAACCTTTGCGCTGGTAAACTATTACCAATGAAATATCGTTTCCTCATGTAGATTTCTATCCTACAATGTTCGCGAAGACTAAAGACATGTTGGAAAATTATTACGAATGCGATTCTGCTGATAAAATACGTTATTATTTCGCTATCCATTGAGGCAGTTTATTATTAAAAGCAGAAAGTTGTCCGTTATTTTTACCAAATAAAATAGATGACGCTGCGCAGCCAGTTATTCTGTACAGTTCAGGTGATAGATGAAAATCGAATACACGAAGAATCCCGATAGGATTATGAGAGTAACAACGTCGCGAGCAACTCTGCATCCCATGCATAATCTGCCAGCCAATTGCAACACACTAAAAAAACTAGCAAACAGAATAAAAGGATGAGAGCCAACATTACGGGTGTTAATCAGACGAAATGCTTTTACTATAGGAGGGGAGATGAGTTGGGGCAAAAATACTCGGTCACTGACAGCATAATCGGGGATAATTATTTGCGGAGTGTTTATTTTTAGTTGACATCAGTTGGGACACGCGAGGTTGGGGCTTCTCATGAACTATTTTCGAACATATAATGACGGACGTGTGTGTAGAATCTAATTGCTACCATCTCTTCTACGGATAACAATCGAACATCCATGGATCGGACACCTGTAACTGAATGGATTAGATAAAAACAATCTGCATCTTAAGTGTGATTCGGTGTCGACAAAGAGTACAACGGCCGCGCTCGTACCTACCCCGGACAGGTGGTGCGATTAACCCGAAACGCGCTACGGCAGCAAATAAGCTGGTAAACACAGAAAGAGTTCACTTTTATCGATAGCCTATCTTTTATTTGGAGTGAGAGCTGATTTGAGGAGAAATATGTAAGTTTCTGCGTCATTTGCTCATCGTCTTCTAAAGGCTACATGACACATAGATTCACCCTTCGTTTCGATACGTATAGTTCTGTGTAAAATGAAACTAAATTCATACGATAAGTTTGTCGTAATTTAGTTATCATACGCCTGAAGTTCATCGAACCCTCAAAGCAAAATCATGTGGAGTACGGAGGAGTAAACGAAGTTCGATCATCATTTGGTGGGTACAGCAGAAAGTAGAAACTGCGACTGGTGAAATTATGAGATTATTCATTGAGATATAAGAGCATTTGACAGTTAGTACCGAGATGAGGCGCTTTGAATGGCAATGCAGCAGTGTATTGATTAAACGTACTATACTAAGCAAACAGCAGGCTAAACATTCTAGGACCCTGTGTTCGGTCATGCAGGGGTGCGCCACTTCCGGTTGTCTGCATTCCTTAAAGGAAACCCCACCGCGGAGGACAGCGTCGGTTTCCGCTTTTATTCCGGTGCAAACACATCACGCCACTATCTACCAGTTCGTGTTCTTGGGTGAGTGTAGTGTAGTAGAAACATAGATGTCTAGATTAAAAGTAATTGACGAGTCTTCCTTCACAATGCATTTAATTTTTGATAACATTATCAGCTGAGTTGGCCTTACTATTCAGAACCAGAATAACTAAGATTAGGAATTTATAATTGGAAACATTTTTACTCAGGTAACTCAACTGAGTGTAATAATTCGAATGGAAGTTTGAGACAGAGTTCGCATCTATCGGGAAAGATGTTCCACGAAATTCATGTCGGTTCGCTTTCTTCCTGTGATTTGATTATTTTGCTGTGTACTTAAGAATTCCTCTCTCCTTGGTAAATCTTTTCTCGCGAAAAATTCCGATTTGCAGCTTCAAACAGTACAATCCTATGGCTGGAGCTGTGTGTTGTGTAAATACACGAAGTTCGCATCAAGGGCCCGTTCACCCTCCTGTTTGCGTGAGGCACCACTGGCGCGACGGGACAGTGAATCGGAGAGCCTGGAGGATAGCTCCACCACATTTGTGATTCCCCAAAGCCCAACCAACTGGATCCCGCACATGACCGGAGTGCTGCGAAGTCGACATTTGAAGAGTGTACCCAAAGTGCTCTCTTGGTTGAGTACTTGGCAGCTAAACGAATTCGTACTCCAAGATACATGGTTCGGTTGGCACCGATGGACACCTGTAAACAAACTGCCCACCCGTAATGGATCAATCAGGCGAGAGCGAAACGGTCAAAGTACGTTTCAGTCCTCCAGGAACTCGACCAATACAGACATATCGGGATTTTCCAATTCGAACCACGGACAGGTAGGCTGATTCATTGCGTTGCATAGCGAATAAGGAAAATAGAGCAACATTAGCTTTGATTAGTATATTTTGTAATCTAAGATGAAGCAAAATAAAACAAGCTCATTCTTTAAAGCTTAGTAACAAAGGAAGTAAATATCATCCATAGACCATAAAATTTCCTTAGACCTTTGCAATAAAGGAAAAAGTATGACGGTATCTATTGACTTGTGTTAAGTTGATAAACATTGAATACAATCTGCCTGTTTAAATCAGTTTTTGGAGGTACTTTTAAATTCCGGATACCCGAGCTTCATCGAAAAGTTCACGAAGAATCTTAGAAGCACAGTACAAGGTGGCTTTCCAATTACCCCTCGACCTTTTTCTTCGAGGTTGCGCCCCCTAGCTCCTGCAAATTCAAGCACTAACTTTTACGCAAGGATAGGTTGGCTTTATGGAAAGCGCGGATCAGTATCGGTTAGGTGCGGCGGTTTGCGCAACCAGCTCAGGGTAGACCTGTGAGAATGATGACAGCGATCGGTTACCTATTGATGGGCCAGTTTCATCCACGTGAATTTGTGACAGATAATCCAAAATGTTTCTAACCGAGTCATAATCCTAGGATCTAGTAACGACATTAGCGGAACCAGATAACCACAACGAGCTGGCAAAGATGCGTCATGCTTTACCGTGTGCAGGTACACTATGCTCGTGTTCCACCCTAGTTTGATCCTCAGTTGGAGCGAAGGATTCTTCCTGTAGATGAAACCCGACAAGAGCGAGACAACTATACAGTGCTTTCGAGGATTTGAAATCAAGTACGATGTGTTTCTTCATTAAATATTTTCGTTTTATCTCAGACGAATTCCAAGGGTGACATTTCATAAACATTTGATTACCAAACAGTAATGAAATTGTGACTGTCCAAGTGGATTATCGTAAGATTGATTGCAATTATTTGTTACATGAGCGTCAAATTATTGACACGCCCTCGTTGAGACCTTTTAATACGAAGTAATACAGTAATTGCATGTTATTTCTCGTTCCCACGCATAGTTCACAACGCATGAAACAAGTCTGAAGGATATGAAATCCAAGGACAATTGGATTGCATTTCACGTTTCATCGATCCGAACTATACAATGCACTCGTAAGAACCGAACGGGTGCCCTTGTTCAACTCATCATTGATACAGAGAAACATGGTACATTGTTGCTTCGCCAAAACAGCGTACAGCACTCGAAGACAGCTTCAGATTCTGGCGACAATCATAACCTCAACTCGTATACAAAAGGAAATGAATTGACCGTATGGCTGCATTGTTTACAAGCCGCCGTGCTTCGGAGTAGGCAAGGGTCACACGCCTAACCGTAGCCTTGTTGGTTGATGAGTGAAAGCGAACAACAGTTCCAAAACAATCCGCCAAAATATTCAGGGCGTCCTTTCGAATACACAATCCGAACAACAGGAACAGTGATCTTTTTAGAAGGACTGGGCCAAATTCGTACTTCGAAATAAAATATACCCCATTTTCAATCATGATTTCAGTTTTCTGGTCTACAGAGCACAGAAAGTATTTTAAAATTTTACTGCGATCGTATTCTTATTCATTTTAAAAGGATCCTGATGTCAACGCATGATGTCTATCTAGAGCTTCAACGCCCTAACATTAATCAAAGAGAAGTAATCATATTCCGAGACCTACTACTACTACTACTACTACCTACTAAGCCCGATACGCATCCGGAATGAAGATATACAGTTTCAACAAATGCACTTGCTCACCGCAAGTGAAAATGTTTTTGATAACCCATTCCTGAATAATATAAACGAGCGTTTGCACAATTTCATATTGAGTCTTGGAACGGAGACGGCGTAAAAATTGTTACACAGAGGTTTTCAACACATATCGTGAAATCCTTCGTATTTCACACCAATTTATCGTTACATCAATCAAACTCATTACCGATCCAAACAGGACGAGTTGATTACCAACATTATTAGTGTGAGAAATTAAGCAATGACAGAAGTGGAGGATTTGATTTGATTATATGCTGAATTTCGGCGTGTAGAGAGAAAATGAAGCGTGAACTGAAAAGCTAGGAAGCACTATACAACTGTTTGAACCTGGTTGGGTCTCATCAGTAGTGCGCATTAATCGACCTAACTGGGGATCGAACCCGGGGTCTTCACAGGCAGAACGCAAGCATGCTAACTATTCGGATACTGAGCAGCTGATCGGACTGTTTTCCTTTTTTATTTAACACGATATAGCACAACCCATCTGATCAGCTGCCCAGTGGCCGAGTAGGTAGCATCCTTGCGTTCTGCCTGTGAAGCCCCGGGTTCGATCCCCAGCTAGGTCGATGAATGCGCACTACTGATGAGACCCCACCAGGTCCAAACAGCTTTACAGTACTTCCTAGCTTTTCAGTTCACGCTTTATTTGCTCCATACCCGATGAATTCCCCTTTGAAATGAACAGGCCGATGAGCGGTCGCTGGTCAAGTGGATGGTATGCTTGACTTCTAACCGCTAGGTCTCGGGTTCGATCCGCAGTTGGGTCGATCTATTAATCCCCCTAGTGAGAAACAAACAAGTCGAAACAGCTGTGCATTGTTTTCCAACTTTTCAGGTCACACTTCATTTATATGACGAAATTCATCACATAAATGAAGCAATCCTGAGGAAAAGAAGCATAAATCACCTCTAGTTGCTCCACAAACCAAAGACGTGGAATGACCACTCACAATACGAACTTCATCGTGGAAACGAGAGAGATGAATAATAAACCGAACCTCAGGTTACAAGGAATTTATTACATATAACATCGACAATCTGTACATGAAAGACCACACCAGAAAGGTTTATTCAATGTGCCTCGTTTGCTTCTTTCTCGTAGTAATCTGCCAGAAAGAAAAACAATGTGCAGATTTCAGCATAGGTAGTTACGTTACACGTAAAAACATCAATTCACAATCAGAGGAACAATGAAAGCCCTTGAATTCCGATTGTTTGTAAAAAAGGAGTGTCGCACGGGGTTATCCGTCAATCAGCCTCAGGTGTGGACGAATCTTTCGCTGTTGCAGAGTTGAATTGAAGGCGATTGAGGTGTAAGGAAAAAGCAGCTGAATGAGTTCGCATATTCAAAGCGAGGTCAGCATACCAATGGCCCACGTAAACAAATACAGAAAGGTATCTAATCATCACCTGAATTAAACTATATGTATTCCCCATCTTCCGCTTGAATTTGTTTCGACATTCCAATCTTCATTTCGCTATTTTATCCAAATGGGCAACCAAAACCCGCGCACGAAAGTGCATGGTTAATGGTTGTAAAAGAGAAACTGGAAACTATGCGCTTCTAATACGCACGTGGAATGATACAAAACAGCAACTCAGACAATAGAAAAAACTTTGTTTACGGGTATCTGCTGGGGTATGTATCAGAATGCAATAAAACAAGAGCTCAGCCAGAGTAAAGTTGCTCTGACTCGTGCACAAAATGATCGGAAATGTGAATGGTATGCTACCAACTGTTGTGACCTTTAAAACTTGGTGCAACCTGTGAGTGTAATGCGGAACGAGGAAACCAGAACATCAGAATGGGAATACAAAAATTGATCACATGGCTGATTCACGCGCATGGAATGTTACGACAAACAGTCAGCCAGTGAACCGTTATTTGGGTACATAAATACCCGATTTGTTTGGGTTTGGGGCTTTTCGAAGAGTTTGACCAAAGAGAGACACTCATTTCATTTCGCATTTGGACCTTTTTCATCTCTTATTCCGATCAAGTCGGACCATGGTGAACTTAAGACTAATGATGCTGACTGCTGTTTTGATGGCTCGAGTAATATAGCCTATTTTTCAGTTACGTACCGACATAGCAACTCTTTCGTCAGCAGGCAAGGAGATGGATACATTTTGATTCTGTATTCTGTTGAAAGTGTGATAAGCCTACACAGCTCTGCATCACTCACTACTCTTCAGAAGGAAATCCTAGGCTCTTTTCTCTACCATAAAGATTTTTCAGCCGTGATCTGTATGAAACACCAACTAGACCCAAACAACAAATGCAGCATACAGTGAAGGAGCAATGAAAAAGTAACTACTAAGATGGGCTAACTGATATGAATGTGGGTGATTGTACTGGGTATGACGAATGGTCAAGTTACTGGAAATCTTTCAACAAAACCCAAGTCAGTCTCGGAGCCATACAATGAACCATTAGGCCTTATTTACCTGAGCCATGCAATGAATGTCACCACGCTCAACCTGGTCAGCACTTACAATGAACTAACATAGCAGGTCGAAGAAGCTCACCAAGATGACGACACTAGAGTATAATACAAAGAAGTCGTACATTCAATAACTTAAATAGCTTCAGGCAGTGAAACGAGAATGACTATAAAAAAGAGATTTGCATGTAATGCGTTGCCCACTTTCCTGAAAATGATGCAAAAAGGTCGATGCCCTCAAATGAACGCGTTTGCTCCTCGAAACTCACCCAGAAATTCATTCACAAATTCAGTATCTTTGCCCGCACGTAGACCGTCACTAATATCCGGATGAGCCACAAGAGGATGAAGGGCTGTCATGAATTCCATTTCATACGGTGGAGCCGCAATTTTCAACACCTGCAAAGGTAAGGCACACAAACGCGAGAATGAACAAGGAAGATAAGGGAATCGGAATAATGTTGCGGCGTATCTCCGGTAATCTAAGTGTGCAAAACGATAAGGTTAGAGAGCAGGACAGAAATGACGGTCGGCTAGATAAACCGAATTCATATGAGACGCAGCGGAACGACGGTAACATTAGGCCGAAGTTCTTGGGCAGTTATCAAGAACAGCATGACAGACAATGGTACGTGTAATTCTTCTGATCATTGGCCAATCAATGAGAAAAGTGACACCTGAACGATGCAGCTTATGAACCGTACGAGAAACACACCGTACTAACTTAGCTGGCCATGAAGTTCGTAATTTAAGTTCCTGTTAGAAGGCAGAAGTTGGAACGATATTGTTTCTCTCCAAGAAAAACTGTTGGATCCAGTTCCCTCTCACTCCGTGGTTGACAAAAGTCAAATTCAGTCAATTTCTCTTCGATTAACTAGTGGCATGGTAATGAAAAACACAAGATCAAGGAAGTATAGGGAATAATCAATTTGAATCGCTTGTCGTACTGGAAATTAGCTGTGAAAACAGTTACGTATATTGACGACAGTTCAAGTGGATACCCTAAGTTTGAAGAATAAATGAATAACCGCATGAAAACGAAATTCAAATCAGACTAGACTAAAACATACAGTGGTTTCAGCTTGTTCACGACAATTTTCCCAAAAGCAGTCAGAATGTAGTTGGATTGTTTTGGTAAATGAAGCAAGAAAACGAGCAATCCGAGGATTAATAAGCATCCACGCAACGTTTACCTTAATATTACTCAGGTTTGTGAGATGACCATAAGATGGAATGAACCACAGACGCGAAGATCTGGTGTCCCTAATTTGGGCGGTGGTGGCAGAGTTCGACCCTTGGGACATAGGGTCCAAAGCACGTCGGTGACAACAACTAAACCACTACACCCCCATCTCAAAACGGGCACTGGAGTGCTGTAGCTGTCGTCCCCATTACACTGCCGAAAGAGGAACAAGCATGATGAATGTAGCAGTGATATGGATAACCTAAGTAAAAAAGCACGTAAAGTTAACTGTGCACAGCACTAATTTACCGCCCCCAAAACGGAAATTTCATTAGTTTAGAAGACGAACGCTTTCACAAATTTAAATCAGGTCATGGAATGAACTCTTATTTATGAACTTTTCTAGTATGATCCAAAGTAGAATGGATGAACTTCCACCAAAGACACGGGAGCTGGCGATCTTGGTGCTGAGATCTTGAAGGGGGGGGGGGCATTATACGATCCCAATGGGTTAGATGTAGTATTGAATCGGNTGACAGTGAAGCAGTCAAACACCAAATTTGTCCAGCGAATAGCATTCAATACTGGAACAATGGTTTACATGTGTCCTTCCAACAGTCTTAGCTAGTATCCCCGTAAATGGCGACGATAATATGACTCTTCCATAAGATTGACGTTAAAAAGTTAAGGGGACGACGATACAAAAGTCTGCCTCGTGAAAACTATTATGTTCCTGTATCCCAGTGCACATGAGCAAATCCACAGATGAGGGACAACAAAAGAGATCAAGATCCAACTATCCAACCAATATTGTGCACAATGATGTTACGCGCGGAATAATTCCAAATAAAAATAGAGAAGATGAGGGAGGATGAATGGGAGGGGCAAATGTGAACTGGAGAATTGGTATTTCAAAGTTCATACTTTTTGGTACCATACGAATCGCCCAAAATCAATGACTAAATCACTCCTTACCCCGAAAAAATCCTATACCACAGAATACTCACCTCGGTGACAAAATGTCTGGCGATCGATACATCGACACGATTCCGTGTGAATAATCGATGCATTGTTCGGATTACAGGCAACACATGACCACAGGAAAGTAAATGTACGAGCAGTCCGACTAGCATACGTTTGTACTCCAGCTATGTGGAGAAAGGGATGGCGCGTGTGTGGTGGTGGTGGTGGGGAGGGGGGTGAGAGTGGGGGGTGGAGTGAGAGATAAACGGCGCATCAGAATGAATGCTGAATATTAGTGAAAAGAACCTTGAGCAATGCGGAATTTGAAGTTGAACCACTAAGCCACGTGTTCGAACAGCTTCCAAAGCTGAGATGTCATGTGAAATCAAACCGTGATACACGGTAATTTGAAACAATTAGCATGCCACGGAATCCCCCTACTTGTCAATGACTGCAAACGCCAGGTGATTTAAGAATACAGATATGCTTCAAAACGTGTATCAGATTTATCCATACAATGATATCTCTTGCGAAATTGGAGTGCGATTGTGTAGGAGCGCAGCATAGGAAAGAAAAAAAACAATAAATATAAATATTTTCTCAAAAACAATCGAACTGATTAACCGATTCAAAGAATGAAAGGTTATTTAATGATAATAATATTACCCATAATTTAATCGCCGGCTTGATACAGGCATGGAGCAAACGATCTATAAAGAAAAGGAGGCAGTTACAAACACGGGAAGGGGACAGCTGTTTTCATTTTCTCAGATTTATGAGTTGCTGCCCTATTAAGGCAGTGAAGCCCCAATAGAGGTTGGTTTTACCGACCTCATACCGAGATTTTAACTGAATAGTTCAACCTGCAAGGCTGTGGGTAGTTGCTTCCAGTCAGAAGACCACTGTGGGTCAGTATCCCGTCGGACGGCGTTTCCAATTTCTGTACACCCAACACACCTAGCTGCTCAATGGAGTTGGTGATTCTATATCCCATAGTCATGGAGAAGTTTGATCCACCTCATCCTGAGTGTTCTGGATGCAGGATTTGCCAGCTCCCTTAGGAGAGCCAGCTGCCAATGACTCGTCATCCCCGTTAGTTTTTCATCTGCTCAGTTCTGTCAAAACACCCCAACGAAGAGAAAGCGGTTGGAAGGGTGTCGCCCAGCAGAGGCTGATAGCGTAGATCATTAGCAGGTAGTTCGAAATTCATCAAACAATGAAATCAGTAGTGTACAGGCCTGTGAGTGACAACAGAATGAAAGTGGACCAATCATTTGCAGTGCCGAAAAAGGCATCGATCAACTGGCTTTCGTTCGACTGCATTGCAAAAGTCGATCACATTGTGAGCGACCGTGTGGAACTCGGGACAGATGAGTGTGCAAATTCAACAAAACACAATGCTGGTGGTTAGCGAGCAAATAAGCAACCACGGAAGGAGAACAAGGTCACATATGTAAATGATCAGTTTGTTTGCATAAGATTCCTGTTTGAACGATGGAGAAACAATGCAGATATGAGGACACTCAGATCAAGGATGTATACGAGAGCCGTGCGGTGCGGTGCTGAGTGCGAGTATATGTACTTGGGAAATCCTAAGCTTCCGATGATACAAAGTAATCAGTTCAAGAGAGTAATGCTATTGTCACGATTCGTTTTGATGCTGCTGATTTCTTCGCCTTGTGGAAACCATTCAACTTATCTCGTAATCTCTACAAAACCTGGTACCATCCAACAAACAAGCCAGTCAGATGACTGCACAGTTTGTTTGACTGAGGTCACTTGCAGTTCTGTTTTGAACCTCTTCGCGACAATATGGAAATGACATAACGTTCCTATAGAATGGTATTCTACTGGTAAAAGATATACAACCAAGCGAGTTGTGGTTTCAATCAAAACTACGTACCAGTCATCACATAGCAGATGATAGAAAAAAAATTTCGGAAAAAAGGAATTTTATGATGCAACATAAAAAATGCTGCAACAAAAGTCGTTTGTCACAAGCGCACACAGTGTTTGTAAAAATGTGAGTCAGATGTGGTTCACGTACGAGGGAAATATGTCGGAATTCAGGGCACATGAATGGATGAGAGCGTCAAAATAACAGATCACACGTTGTTTAAGGGACGTGAAAAGTAGAAGAATACTTTTGGCTATTCAATAACTATATGACTCCATCATTAAGAGGAATCAAGGAAAGATGACCGATACCGGCGTAAAACCTGTGTATTTCCACAAAACACAGAATAAACAAAAATAAAAAATAAAATAAAAAGCACATAACGGTCGAGGAAGTAAGCGAATAATTTCTGCCCCAAGAGGGAGTGCGCTTGGAAATAAAAGGAACAATTCAATTTAAATGGACTATGCAAACAAAAAATCACATTAAGAATGAAAAGTCTCTCACTAAGCTTAGCGAATGAGCTCGCGAAAATAATAGTGTATTTGAAAGCTGCACATATTGGACTCTGTAGTTGTTCAATCTGTTTTCTTATTTCGTAACGAAAACGTTTGACGCAGTTCACAGTAGTCCCCTCTGACTGCAAATTACTTCAAGCGTAGTAAAAAAGTTTGGCCTTCTTCGCGTGAAACACCATCAACATGATGGAAAACCTTCGGATTAACTGGTGTGTTGATGTTTTGGGTCATTGTCGATAGACTGGTTTGTGCATTGAGTCTACACAGGGCGGGAATACTATCGAAGAACTAACCGGACTGGTACGTAGGATGTTTTGGTTTTATTGAGGGAAATGGGGAGGCTCGAGATATCGTCTGATAAAAAAGATAAGCCAAAAGTGGCAGGGTACCTTTCAGACGATATGATCAGAGGTTTGCATAGATAGAAGTTGGGAGTTTCTCTCAAATTCAGTCACGCATCAGTACAGAAAGATAACGTCAACCAGTTAAACATGAATGCCAGTGGAAAAAGATAATATGGAAATACTACAGCCTTCGAAGGATTCTGTTCGGGGAATCTGGCTTACGATGGAGCACCGAGTTGAAAATTAAATTAATCAAACTGTATTCGCAAGGAGACGAACAACCAAACTGTATTCGACTGGAATGAAACTCATATAAGCAGTACATCTTTAAAAAACCCGAGAGTTATAGATCATGCTCAGTTAACAGGTCACCGGTAATAAACCCTACATCACACACCATTTCATAACACAAATCACATGCTGAAGTTCCACAACAAAGACAGTAATTTTCCATTCGATTACTTCCGTACGTCATACGGAAATCGGCAAAAACGAGGTTCCCTTAGAGATTACCACGAAGCGACAAATCACCGGAGGATTGGGAAGCAGTAAGCAGTGGATCACAGCGTGGATTGTATGAGCAAAATAATCACTCAAACTGACCTGACTCAAGTCCTCCATGCCTTCGACTGAGGATGCAAGTAGCTCGGTGACAAACGCCAGAAGGGCCGAGTGCAGATGTTCATTCACTTCGGCCAGTTCATTAACTACAATGCAGTACGGCTTCATTGTGTCCAGATTGAGTTCAAAGTCCACCCGTTTCGTACGAAATGCCACACGTACAAAGCGAAAAACACCAAAAGCAACCGGTCGACAGGATAGGCAGCCCAAAAGAGAGGGCAAGTCACGAAACGCGCGGAGACTTATACCACTTCCCGACATGTTATTCCACTGTAAGAAATTGGTAAAAAACGAAATTCGCTCGATAATCTTCCGAGTCGCTCAAACGAATCAGCGAGTAAGAGAAGACTTAAAGGGATACAGCCCTGGTCACAACGCGTCTGATCGATGAACAATCTAACGTTATTTACTGGTAGAAAGTCAAGTAGAAATGGAATGGACAAGGACACAACCGATTCATCAGCCCGTGCTGATGTATTCTTTAAATAGCCTCACTGCGATAACGGGTATATATACGAGTAGAAACAAACTCGTACTTCATTTCGTTCAATCCAATGAGTATTGACGAATCAGGTGTATCACTAGCAGTTAATAATTTAGAAAAGGAAAATCGATGGAGGCACTAGACCTCGGACGGGATCAAAAGGTGATCCTACAGCTCAGAATTTTGAATGGAACGGTTGTAACAACGGAGGAATTGAAAATTCACATTCTACTAGGAACACCGCAACACGAGCGATGATTTTGAGGTCTCGTTCATTAGACTGCAACTATCCCAATACCCATCTATCTGGAATGTGCGAAGAAACAGAAGCACCGTGTAATTCGGATGGGTGAAGAGTCTGGAACACTTGTATCCGATTTTCTTCGCAGACACCGGGTGTGCCGAACAAGGACTAATTCAGGACAAAAGCGCTCAGTACCATGGCTTTGAGATGAAAATTGAAGCGAATCTAGATAACTAAAAGGAAAAGAAGGACTACTATGCACAGGGAGAATTATACACAAGAGGTGATGCATGCATAACACCTACCAAATTATTCAATATCACAGTCCGTGGAAAACCAATGAGACTGGCTTCTTTCCTCGAAAAAGAAAGCAATCAAATTATAGATAACTCGTTTTTCTGAACCGGGTGTATACTACAGCTGTTTGGCCGGTGCAATGTAGAAACACAGTCATTACTGGTGAAAGGCAAGCACAGCGTATAGGTGGTTGAACACTGTTGTCTATATGTCTGATGGGACAACAGAACTGATACTAACGAAGTTAAACCAACAGTTTTATGTAGTCGCGATCACGTGCAGGCAATCGACCTTGAAAGAATGCGCACGTCTCCAGAGAGGCATCCTGATCACGCTGCGTTCTTCAGAGAAGGTAATCACTGAGATAAGACCGATAATAGTCAGAAAAACACCTTACAGATAGGAATTATTTACGTGGGTCACGTTAGGCGACCCGAAGGAGAATCTCGGGACTAGCCCAATCAATGGTTTAGGACATTGAATGATATAATTGGGTGCCACAAACTACGACAGTTGGACATTAGCCCACTTTTTGCGCTTACATAGTTTGGTCACATTCTATATCTCTGTACAGTTTTCAGTGCTTCTTTGAATGTTCCTCCACTTTTCACGGATAGATCGAATGATAGCCGAAAAACAGGCTCATGAAGGAGCAAGGTAGAAGGTTGTGTAAACTGGAGGGAAGTGATACCTCAGGTAATCTGCCGAAAACCCTGAGAGTCCGATGTGAAACAACGTGCAATGGAAACCCACAATCACCTAGCAATAGCCTCGTATCCACACTTACCATACGATGCATCTGCGTCCATTGAGGAGCAAATGACAAAGTGATCACCATGACATGACGATTTTCGGCGAATATTATAAAACATTTTCACTATCCGGAAGCAGGATATTGAAAGCAAAAGGGTCTGGTATGCATAAATCAAACAGACAAAGATTGAAGGCGAGTAAGAAACAGGGGTGGTGGTGGCGCAATGGTTTAGTCGCTGTCAGCGGCGTGCTTTGGTCCCTGTAGTTTGAGTTTCGGGTCCCGCCACCGTCACCCAACTTTGGTGGTAGACAGCTTTGCTGTCGCCCACTTCGATACCACGTCTGATCTCGTGGGGCCTTATGTGGTTCGCCACTGCAAGTCCCGGGGCTTAGGTTGCCGGTTACCATCACTGAACAGTAGGTCTTTGTGACTGCGGGGTGACACCCCGTCTGCTGTCCATCACACAATGGTGTATACTAAAAATGGGATTCCAGACGGTATTGTAAAGCCTTTATGAGATAGTAAGCGGATAAGAAAAATTCTGTTGCAAACGAGCGACACAAAAATGAAACCATAAAGTGGAATTACTTCATAAAAATGCAGCAGATAACAGAACGACTGCGTCGTATGGCTAAGGGTTCAAGGAAGATCGTACGGTGCGGATACAGATATCCCACTGAATGATAGAACGGAAATTCCAGAGACCATTGCAGTTGTTAACCGAAGGTAGACA